TTAAAAAAGACAGTATTTTGAAAAACTAAAATCAAGACGCTGAAAAATATATCTGCTAAAATGTTGCAAATGAAAAATCTAAGAAGCCATTTTCCATCAATAAAAGGAAACTAATACGCACAATAATAAAAAACAAACTGAAAAACTTACAGGAAAAGACTGAAAATGTAATCCTTATTAGTTATTACTTTTTCGAGGCATGTAACGAATTCTTCTTCCCAGTAAGAAAAATCTGAAGAATCGGGCAGCACTTGTACAACTAAGAAAATGTTGAATCACCAAAAAAATTAAAACAATTTTATGCCAAATTTTTGCAAATACTACTGAACTGTAATTCAAAACTACGGTGAATCAGCATAATTAACTCGGGGGAAAGCCTCTTTAAGATACTTCTTCGCACAGTTTTAAATCCTGCGTCTTTTCTCTTTTTTTTTAAACAGAGACAAGCCTGACCAACGGAAAAAAAAATCCGGGTGACGAAAACAACATCCGCAACAAAAACAAACTACGTTTTCGCACCAAGTCGAACACGAACAAGTCGAGCAGGAATTGCAATTACCCTTTCGCAACACTCGCAATTATTAATACTGACACAAAAACAGCATCTTGGAAAATATAAATAAATAAAAAATGCTCGTAATGTACACATAAAAACTCACTATACCGAGTTTTCCACTTGTCACTGTCTTCCCGTTCTTGTTGCACTTTTCCTTCAGCTTTCAATTTTCTCAGCTGCAGCACTGTCACGTTTTCCGCTGCAGCAGCAGGTATCATGAAATCTTCCAGGCCCTTGAAAAATAATGTCCTTATGGAGTCAAATTTTGCATCACCAAAAATTGAAAATAAACTTAAAAACAAAAAAGAATGCGACACTGAGCGTTAAAAAGATAAAAATTGCCCTCTATTTATTCTGACTGAATGAGTCATTTATTGCCTAAAAAATCAACATCAGCGATCACTCCTCAACATTGAACCCATCTCGATTGACTTTGATAAAAAAGTCAAATAAATTCCCGTCATAGACGATTCAGGGAATATATTTTCGATTGAAAAGTTACCTAAAATTTCACATTACATGGATTAATCAAGAATCATCGCCGAAAATGATTTTAAAAACGAAAATTAATAAAATGCCTTCGAACTTTCATTCATAATCACATGAGGGTGAAACCTTCGCATCAACTTCACTCTGAAAAAACGTTGAAAAAGTCACTATTTCATCTCACAATTAATCCCTTCATCAGCAATCGTTATTTACAAATCATGAGCACAGTAAGAATCTTTCTCACAACCTTCATCAGTCAGTTGAATAAAGACCAAATAAAAACATCAATGACCAAATGAAAAAAAAGGAACTCACCAGCACTTATTAAACGTCGTCCTCGGCATCAATAAACGAAGCAGACCCGGAATCACTCTGCTTATCGTCAAAACGTCAAGATATTGTCGTTTCTCTCGTTTTGCTCCCGCGGGTGTTTGATTGATGCCACATATCCGGATTTTGTCGCAGGGCTGGTCAACAACCGGCCCATGACCCGGGTAAATCACCTTGTGGGTTCCAGATCCAGAATCTTCTCCGAACTCGCCATGCTGTAAGAAAGATAGTCTTCGAAAATTGCAGTTGCCAGCAGAGAACAGAGGGCGCCCCTGGTTGTCGGTGTCCAGCAAGACTGTACGTGGTCCTTGGTATGCCCTGGTTTAGTATATGGATATAACTATAAAATAAATAGACACGAAAAACAAATTTCAACAGCAATAAGCTTTAAAATTCATAAATTTATCAAACAACAAAAAATCCACAAACAAATTAAAAGAAATCCATATTTTGAAATATCAATTCTCTGTCCATGTAGAGATGTGAAAGTGTTTTACAGCGGGTAGATGTCGCTCCAAATAAGCTCTGACCCATTTAATCAAAATACTGCTACAACATACCTCACAATATCTCGAAGAATCAATCAATCAATCCTCTTCTTCATCAACAATTGCGTAAATTAATTGACAACAATCAGCAAACCTAACTTCAAAGGGGATTTTTCCACTAAAATTGTCAAGTGCATTTTAAAACAGTACATCAGAAAAAAAGTAAAAATTGATTTCCTTCTTCCGTGTTGCAGAGTTACTCAGAGAGTTCCAGTGATTTGCATCATTGCAGTTGAATAGATATCACTTGTAATTCATAATTCATCATTTTATTTTAGATTTATTCTGACCGACCAGGCTAGTGATTCAGGCGACACCTATTCCAGACTCCATAGAAAGCAATAGGGAGAAAAAAAATCAACACATCTTGCCTCGGAATCAATTAATTCACTACCACTTCAATAATAAACTTACCGAAGGGAAAGCGCCTTTTCAACTCGTATCTCCTGTGACGAACAATTTCTGAATTTCCCTAAGTTTTCAAAGAGGAAGGTGCTTCCGTCGTCAAAGGACTGTAAACCACGTCTACCGTTTCACAACGGACGGTTGTTGACGTACGACCTGAGGTGGTTCCACCAGCCCCAGGGTAAGTCAGATCATCGTGGGTCACCACAATGTCGCTAATGGTAACCGACTCTTCCTTATTCAAGGCCTATACTGCTTCACATTGGCCACGTAAGAATCTCGGGCTCACTGGCATCAATTATGAGTAAGCTCCTGAAATAAAAAAAAATAAATAAATGAAAAGACGAGAAAATATTGAAAATACTGTAGTGTGTTTTAAATTCTTTTTTACGAGTGAAACGTAGTGTTCACGGCTGGTCTATTCATTCACAACCAACCAAGGAAGTTCTCAGAAGTAAGGACCCAATAATGTTGGTTCTTAAGCGTAGTGTGAGCCGGGTAAAGTTTCGCTATTTGCGGCAACAACTCGGTCAACTTTCCCAAAGCCACGCATCGATCATCACTCAATAACATCGACCGGTTCTTTATTTCTCTCTAAAAAATGTAGGAACACGTACCAAGAGGATTATTCATCAATATTCCCATATCAAACAGAATAAGCTGCCAAAATTCTGGTTTTGCTCATCTCAACACCCATCTTTCTTGTTCTTTCGTCAAGTCCACACGAAGCGTTTCGATTTCATCTGGAACAAGTATACCGTAATGATATATGTCCATGCGTAAAGGTTTGGTATATACTGTACAAGGCAGGCTTTCCTTATTGCAAAAGCATCTCGCGAACACTTTAATCCATATTAAAGCATGCAGGTAAACAAAAACGCTTCTTGACGGCAGCACATGATGCACAAGTGATGACGGTATCGCCGTTTTTTGTATGCTGTGTGTTAAATTTCAGGATATGCACTAGTTATGTAAGAACACAATTCAATTCGGGCGAGACAAAGAAAGCAAAATCACAAGTTCGTGGACTTCGACGTGGTGCTGAAGAGAACAGAACCAGGAAATAATCTTTCAAATGTTCAAGAAAAAACTGAATCACTGATCACTGATTTCACACGCACACAAAGTACAGTATAGGCATGTTTCTCACAACCAACATATACCGCGTATAATGGATGAACCCTGCGGAAGCACTTCGCCCGAGCGTTTCAGACGGGGTTTATGAACGTCTTGCTCGAGAAAATTTCGGGCAAAATGCACGGGCACACGGCCGCAACATTGAAGTACAGTATTGTATCGTCGTGGCATCAATGCATCCACAGTACTTGCATGTAGAGTTTTCGGGTTTTTGGTAGGTGTCGCACGTTGCTACGTGGGATGGAGTATGCATCAGGAATAATGTTCAAGTTTTTGTTCCTTCGACTTTTTTGTTATCGGTGTTGAAAATCGGAAGAACGCACTTCATCTCATCTCGTACTTTCTACGTATTTTACACATATGCTTATTCTGCTTGGTTACAGAAGAGTTTCGAATTACTGTGCTTAGCATATGCTGCTTGGTATTTCAAGACTACTGTATTGCATTTTCTCAAGTTATTGGAATTCGATTTGATGCACAATATATTGTACATCCGCCGCGAGTAATCAACAAATGATGGACGAGTGTCATTTACACACATTCAGCACAAACCCCGACCCGTATCCAAAATCCTGCTTTTAACAAAACCGGTTTTCGGCAAGGCGGTGAAGCGTTGGGCCTGCGCGTCCGGGGTTTATGAACGTCTTACTCGAGAAAATTTCGGCCAAAACGCACGGGCAACACAGCCACGTACGTTGAAGTAACGTGACATCTATGCATCTACTTGCATGTATAGTTTTGCATTTTTGTGGTAGGTGTCGCACGTTGCATGTCGGAAAAACGTAATGTTTTTTCACGCTTCGCGAGTATAATAATACTGTTGTGTCTTCATATTTCTGTTTCCATTGCTTTACTTCTGTTTTGCACATAATGTCAGCGAAATTTAATAATTAATGACGGGCTACTTGAATACACTGTATTGGCAAAGAAATGAAGATGGGTGGGGTTTTTCTGTGCATGGGGAAAATACAGGATCATGTACTTTCATTATTGTTCATGTTTGTTTATTCATTTTTGGGCAGGAAATCTCAATCTTTGTTTCGTTTCTCTGAATTTTAAGCAGGATTTCCACTGCCCTTAATAATACAGGTAGATTCCTTTAAAAGATGAACAATTTTCTTATCCTTCAATCATAGTGCATCTCACACAAATAAATTGTCTCTCAAGATTAGCACAGAGTATTGTGTGAAAGATTGTGTCAAAAAAGCAAAGCAATCATTGGCAATGATGACGAAGACCTAATTTTTAAAAATAAACACAATTGTTTGAAAGCATATCACACTTATATTTGGTCTGCAGCATGTGTCTCTTTCTTTTCTTCAGAAAAAAAAACTTTCTTTATTCGTCCACACATAGATGCACACGCAAAAAAAACAACAAAAAACATGGAAAAGTTGACAAAAAGATTGAACACTTGGCAAATTTGGTGTGACGCTCGTTTTTTTTTTCAAGGTGGGATGGAGTACCCATCAGGAATGTTCAAGTTTATGGTTCCATCGACTTTTTTGTTGGTGTTGTTGTCTGACGGTTTCGTTTTAAACGAGATCCATCCTGAGCCCGTGCTGCTGTAGATGGTGATGATGATGAGTGCCCATCAGCACATACTCATCAGAGTAATGCCTGCTGGCAAACACAGCTGCTTCCTTGCCCTCGGGGGGAAACCTGACAGCAGCAGGTGCCTCAATCACGGTCACGACAGAGGCCTCGCTGGAGCTGCGGCAGTTGCGCGAGGAGTCCTTGCTGGGAGACGACATCTGCACGACGGGATTCACAACTCCGGTGGGAATGGTGCATGTCTGCTGCGCAGGGTACACTCCATCGTAGCAGCCGTCGGACACGGAAGAGTTTCTAGCTGATGACGAACACTCGTCAGACGTGTCCTGTTGCGATGAATAGTAGCCCGTGTCGGTGGAATGATGGCCATTCACGACCATGTGTTGCTGGTGGATTTGGGCCATGTCCTGCTGCTGGAACATCTGATGGCGACCCATCGGCATTGTCTGGTACCTGCATGCACAGATTTCAGAGAATAATCAATTAATTGCTGATGCCCTCTATCGGCTAAGATATCAACAAATCGATTGTTTTTTTTTAGGGAAAATACAACACGCTTGATTCACTCAGGCTTATTTTACTTTTGCAGAGAAGGAATCAGGAACTACAGTACTGTATAACATTGTATATAGTAATATACAGCATTTTTTGAAAACGTGAAAAAGATGCTATAAATTGTTTAATTATTTAAGACATATCAAATTTGTAGATTCATTTTTTAAAAGGTACATGACTTACCCAGGCACTGCAAATTGGTGATGAAGTCTACCAAAGTAGCCAGGGGGTCCCAGAGTAGCAGAATTTGCAGGGGTGGCATAGTTATTGGCAACATTGCCAATCATGAGCCTCCTTCTTGACCAGGTTCCCACATCCAGCTCCAAACCAGTCAGGGTTTTGTACAAAAACAGGAAGTCATCCTTTGACAAGAAAAAAAAAACAATACTTTACAGACCCTGTTTTCAGTTGACCCACCTTATTTTTGACATGTGTATGATGTATATATTGAATGTCTCACCTGTTTTCTCCATACATGTGGTCTGGACTGTTGGCACAGAGATGCATGAAGGAACACATCTACCCTCTTGTCAATTTGCATCTGCTCATAGAGGGCGCTGAGACAGCAGAAGGTTGTGGCTTCCACTCCTCCAAACCTATAACAAAAATTACAATACAATATCTGAAATAAGTTTACTCTGGTTTTTGTGGGTATTATTAATCCAGTTCTCAAGGGATGGACAATTTTTAAGTAATTTTTTTTTTCCTCACACACCTGTCAACTATGACCCAGGGAACCACATCAGCTTCCCCATCCCCAGTGACAGCAGGTCTGGACTCCCTCAACTTGAGCACATCTTTCACCAGGGCCAAGGGGTCCCTGGATTGAGCATTAGGCCAGCCTGGACACAAAATCAAGCTGATGGACAAGCTGGGCAAGTTTTCTTCTTCTTGGCCAGCAGCAGGGGCATCACAGGACTGTGCTGCAATCTTCAATCTCAACTCAGGGTGACCAACTGTTGTCTGCTCACTCTCCAGAGTGATCTTGAGGTTATCAATGTGCAATGACTCTGAATTCGACTCTGGCCAGAAGCAAGGGTAACTCTGCAAACATATACAGAGGGAACACACATGAGATTGAAACATTCACCATCAACTGCATGTACTGTACAGTATAACAAACCTGGTAGTCTGCAGTGGAGAACAAGACAACATTCTCCACTCTCAGTTGCCACACAAGCCTCCAGAAAGCACCAATGGTGTGAGGCAAAGGGTGCTGGGTGACCACAAACTCTTTGGCATAGTGGAACCCAGTCACAAAGCTCGCATTCACATAGTCAGTGTTGCCAGCAGAGGAAGCTAGACACACTCTGCTGCTCTCAATGGCCACACTTTCCAGGTCCCTGTTCTTGCCACGGTTTGCATCACAGAGGGCAGTAGAAGCATCTGGGGTTCCAGCCCAGGAAGAATTGAGCAACTAAACAAAGGGCAAATAGATGATATGAAATTATTTAGAAAAGTTAAAAATCAAAATAAATGTTTTCCTCCATATCCAGCATTTCAAATTCATGGCTATACAGCATTATGAGGGATTTTCTCTCAATATAAAGGGGCCTCATAAAAGTTTGTAGAAAAAAACATGTATGTCTGATGCTGGTGAGGAGTGAATATACCAACCTTCCATTGGTTGAAGAGCCCTTCACCAGCTGCCATCTTCCTGGTGAAGGCTGTCAGCTGGTCCACCTCAACGTCAGTGTCAGAGTCAAGACCAGCTTCACAGGCAGCCAAGAGGGCGTCATGCACAAACACATACTGCTCCTCAGTCTGCACCAGGGCCTGTCTCTGCTGCCTCACTCTTTGCAGAGTGTCAAACACTGCCAACCTCTGCTCTGCCCTCATTTGTGCCAGCACTGAGTCTATGACAATGTAGGCCCCAGTCCTGCCAACTCCAGCACTGCAAATAATGAAAGCAATGAAAAATGCTGCATGATTATTGCTTTTATATATTTCTCACCTGCAATGTACCACAATGGGCCCAGTGGTGTTCTGGGAGGACCTTCTGACAAAGTGGAGCAGAGCAGCAGGTGATGGAGGGGTTGCATGGTCAGGCCAGGCAGTAAAGTGCCACTGCTGCACTTCCCTGTACCTACTGTTGCCAAGGGCTTTGCCACTGCCCACTGCCCCTGCTGTGGGTGACTTTGGGCCACAAGTGCTCTGTTATTGGAATGATACCAACCAATAAGAGGTTATAGTGTGTGAATTTAAAGAGGAAAAAAAACTAGGTGTTTCTATGTAATATTCACCTTGTTCACTTTGCAGACAAGGAACTTTCTGAGAATGTAAGTAGCTCTGTGCACTTGCACTGTGGGTTTCACAAGCAAGGAGCCATATTGTTCTGCTTCACTGCCTGAAGGCCAATACTGATCACATTTACTCTGTGATGGAAGCAACAACAACAAGAAAATTGTTAAAATCCATTTCCCAACAAAACACTTTGAATCTCATATCTGTCACTTACTCTGCCCCTTTCAATCAAGTTGGTGATCATGACAACAGTTTTCACATCATGTTCCCAGATCATTTTCCAAAATGGCACAGCAGTGCTGGCCAAGGGTCCCTGTGTTGCTATGTAAGCATTTGGTCTGTTCCATCCATCCACAAAACTAGCATTTATGTAATCCTGACTCTTCAGGTCACTCATGTTTCCATTTTTTCCTCCTTGCTGATGATGATGCAATGGCTTCAGTGGGACCAGAGAGTGGTCATCTGCATGAAGAAATAGCAGGAAATGAGTACTGTATACTTCATTATAGGCATGCTAGTACTATATATGGGTAGATACTCATATAGAGGCTCTAAAATTTAATTTTAGGCAAACCTCCTAAAAAAAATTAGCAGTACTGCACTATGCAGCAACAATGGTCTTTCGTATTACACATTCTCTGTGTCACCTGCTGCTGCATATGATATTATCTCATCAATTGGCTTCAAGTCAAGCTTTTTAAATATAATGCAATCATAAAATATAAGCCTCTTGACACATCTCAAATCTCATCATTTATGTTCAAATCTGGACTTTGAATATGATGGATTTAAAGAAGAAAAAAAATTTTTGATTTTAGATTCCTCTTGATCAAAAAATTTTATTTATGGATATGGAGAAGATTAGATTATTATAGACATGCAAAAAAAAATTCGGTGGGGCATGATCCCCTTTTTTTCTTTTCAGTGTATTAAATTTTAAAAATAAATGACTGTTATTGCTGGCGACTCACAAGGCAGCACATTCTGATAGCGGTTCTTGTCCCTGTTTTCGGGCCTCTGGGCCACACTGCAAGAGTAACCCCGGGTTCGCTGTTCGCAGGCACTCTGCAGGGCCTCGAATTCCTTGGCAAAGCCCAGGTCTGCATCCGCATGCAGTCGGGCCACGTGGGCAGGGAACAGCGAGGAAGAAATGGCATTGTGGCCCCCTGGCGGCGGACAGGGGTCCTGGAAGACCTTTGCTGGCTGGTGCTTGCTCCTGCTCGCCTCCAACGCGCTGTTCACCTTGGCATTTTTCCTGTCGTAAATCATTGAATAATTAGCGAAATCCATTCATGCCGAAAAGAAAAACCTTTTTTAACACGTTTTTATTAACTTGCTTTCTTGTCCTTTTGTTTGTTAACAATCTCCATGCCCTTTTCCATGCCTTTTTTCCTTTTTCAAAACGTGGTTTTTTAGATTAATTTTTTAATCTACTAAATTTAAAAAAAATAATAATAATAAAGACACTCACCTCCAGAGAAACAGGGCCACGACGGCAAAGAGAATGGCCAGCAGGCCGCAACAAGTGCCCACCAACAAGGCGGGCTTCATTTGCACGAGGTTGCCGAGCAAGGACGTGTTGTTGTTGTTGCTGGAGGCGCCGGAGACGCCACGGTGGTCCTGTGTGGCCGACGTGGAGGACCAGGCCGCCCTGCAGTTGCCAGTCACCAGGGCCTTGCGAATCTCGGAAAACGGGCCATCGTACACGAGGCCCGGGTGCGACTCGCTGCGGGCCCTGGCCTGGATCCTGATTTCGTACACGCTGCCATCGGTCAGGTTGCCGAGCAACAACTGCAGCAAAAATGCAAAATATATATAGAAACGGAGATGTTGTTTAAATCATTCAAATAATAATGCATATACTGTACCGGTATCCAAATAATTATTCAGATATGACGTGAATAAAAGAATGCCTCTACAAAGTGGCCCAGCAGATTTTAGACTGCTGATTATAACAAAGATCCAGATTTTTAAAAAGAAAAAAAGAGATAAATTATTGGCATGAAAAAGTGCTGAAATTTCTCTTTATTGACACAATCTTTGAAGTTGTGTTTTGTAAATTGGTCCAAGATTTTTCTCTGGACTTTTACCTGATTTTTTTTGGTCAAACGATTTCCTTGTCAAAAAATATTCAGGATATCAATTGTATTTTTTTCCTATTTTATGTCTGTGCATTCATTTGACATCTGAATGTTTGTCAAGTACTTTAAAAAATTGGGCACCATCATAATCAACACAAAGTCCCAACACTCATATAATTTCTGGGCTTATATTACTATTATTTTTCTAAATGAACCTATGAGCATAGAATTTATTTATTTTACACTATAAGGGCCACCTTTAGGATATATGATGATAGGAATAACACTTACAGTGTGAGTTCTGTCCTGGACAGTGATGTCTCCAGCTGGCACCACCACAACATGGCCCTCGTTGTCAAGTTCGTCATCACCAGTCTCAACATCACTATTGTTGTGACTATTATCATCATCATTCTTTTTGTTGTTGTTGTCAGCATCATAGCCTGGCGAGACGGGAGCGTCAATGTCCCTGTAGAAGACGTGGTAAGAGTCGGGACTGGCGTTGGCAACACTGCTGGCAGTCCACGCCACCAGCAGGGACTGCGGTGGCACGCAGGTCAGGTTGGTGATGGTGGGTGGGCCAGGTGGCCCGTTGTCCGTGCGCAGACGCCCCTTGGGCGACGGCTGGCCCTCGTGCTTCCGGGTGAAGCCCACGACCCACAGCTCGTAAGTCGTCCCTGGCACTGAAGCGAAATTAATTTTGTAAATCAATATTTGTCATGAGTAAAAAAGAAGGTAATTGAAGAGGAGAGAAAATGCCATTCGGGATAGTTTTTCTTTTCTTTAGAATTTACTATGGCTTCAGTACAGCCAAAAGAACGTACATATTCTCTTCTCCTTTGCCTTTTAAAAATAAATCCAGTTTCACGCAAATAAATCCTCGCCTGCGCAATTCACATATAAAGTTCATATCTTTTAAATGACCAAAAAAAAAGACGTAAAGGATGTAGCTTCTTTTCTTTTTCGATGCATATAGAAAATCATCAGATATTATCTCAGGTTGAAACACAGGAATTCCAGAATATTTCTCATGGCTGCTTAATAAATCTCAAATGGAAATCCGATGAGGATTTGTTGGGAATTAACAATCGTACGTCATTGATTTGTTCCACTTATTCGTGGAATAATTTGAAGCAATCAGGTGAGTGTTATTGATTTGATAAATTACTCCGTTGGAATTAACTTTGATTGACAAAGTGTTGATCGATCAGGATAAAATCGCTTGCGCTGATAAAAATGCATTGTACATCGAATGAAAGCTTGGCCTGTGTATAGGTACAGTATTTAAATAATTTCTGTAACTCGGGAATTCCTCCAAATGTCTGTTAATTATAGAGCGAACTCTCGTAATTGTAATTGATTTAAAGTCAATGTTAGCTTGATTTTAGACATGACTCGCAATCGAGTTGGCAGAAATAAATGCTGTGTAAAAATAAAAAAGCGAAAATTACTTGAGGATAACAATAGTCCGAATAAAAAAGAAGAAAACAAATTTCAATTTAAAAGAACATTTCCACTTGAGCAAAAATAAACTACAGTTGATCGATGGCTTTTCTTTCTTTCTATCGTCTTCTCATTTCCTCCCATTTTCGTCCCCGTTTCACACATAAAAATAAAGTGTTAAAACACTGTAAACTCACTGAGATTGGTGAGCAGGAAGGTGACGACGTCAGAAGAAGAAGACGAAGAAGAAGAAGAAGAGGAAGACGAAGAAGAAGAAGACGTGGACGGGGATGAAACGGCGAGGGTTCGGACGTCCGTGAAGTTGTTGGCGCCGTGGAGCGAGAGGAAGTAGACGCGGTAGCCGTCGAGGACGCCGTTGGGGCGCCGTGGCGGCGTCCATCGCAACTCGGCGTCAGAGTCGCCCACTCGTTTACCTCCTTCATCCGTCATGACCAGGACTTTGGCAGGTGGACCCACGCCAACAGGGTTTCGGGCCCGAAGTGTCACCACGTACTGAGTCCAGGGCTGCAATTCCGTCAGAGTCATTTCCTGCAAATTCACAAACACACACAAAACAATTTGAATTAAAAAAAATCAAGCATCGATAGATCCATCAAATCAATAATCGTTCCCATAAAGAGAGAGAGACAGAGTCAATTCATAGTCCTTCCAAATTCCCACTGAAATTTATGCTCATGAGTTTCTGCAAATTAGTGTTGGTTCTCATTTTTCACTACTTTTTGCAACACAACACATAAAACAAGTTTTTTAAAAATGAAATTGATGAACTATGATAACTCTGGAAAAATCTGCGGAACTCAACTTAATTCCTAGCACTTGCTTCTCTTCACATCATTGAAAGTATGAAATATAAAAACAGGCTGATTTTGTCACCATGAAAACCCGAATTCAATCAAATTTTCGCCAGCCTGTATAAAATCATAACGAACAATAAATTCTTCCCTCTGTTTGCCAACCCCACGTGAACCCCGAAAGAAGCACACAAAAAAATAAAAAAAATAAAAAACAGGACGCAAAAGTAAATGAGACATGTGTCAGTGTAATAAGTACCCCTCCTCCCCCCTCGTGTCTCATTTTGCGAGCATTTATGCAGTTTCACGCGCCAAACCGACCGTCGCAAAATGGGACAGAGAACAACAAAAGGCGCACAAACACGCACAAAAAAAAAAAATTATAATGTAAAATAACAGAGGGGGTGCAAAGAGTCAGATTACCATCATGTAACCCTGGACAGACTTAATCACTGCTGGGTCCTGTTTACCAAACTTGTTTACTTCACCTGCTCTATTACAAAGTTTCTTCACTCCCCGTCTGTAGAATTTAATCCACCTTTTTCCGCTGTGTTTTTTGTTAAACTCTAGAATCATTATTTTTTTTTTACATCGAATGAAGTTTAAGTGAAATTTGACACCGAATTTTACGCCGCACAAACGCCCAAAAGATTAATGAATAATTTCACGACAACCAGATGTTCTCCAATCTTCAAAAAAAAGAGAAATAAATGTTGAAATAATAAAAAAAATTTAAGGCCTCGGGTTTGAAAAATATACTCAACGAGATGAAATTGTTGGCAGCTATAAAGGAAGGAAGATGTTGAATAAAAAAAAATAATAAAAAAAAGAGAAATAAATGTTGAAATAATAAAAAAAATTTAAGGCCTCGGGTTTGAAAAATATACTCAAGGAGATGAAATTGTTGGCAGCTATAAAGGAAGGAAGATGTTGAATAAAAAAAAATAAAAAAAAGAGATGGAGTGGATATATGAGAGAGGGGCAAGCAAAGTTCTTGTTCACCATTGAATGTCTCCGGATGTAATTTCATTTGAACGAAAGGCATCGACAATGAACCAGGTTCTTTTTTTTTTTAAATAAATAAATATATGGTATATTCATTCATTCATTCCTGTCTTATCTCAATTTAACAGACGGGAGTTGCTTTAAAAAGTTGCTTCAGCAGCAGCAGCACATGCTGGGAGTTGATTCAATTTGGACTCGGTACTCGTGTCTTGACGATCCAGAAAGTCCATCCTCATCCGGAAGACAGGAGAATTTTATTTCATTTTTTTTAACTCTATTTCCAAGTTTCCTTCACTTGTACTGGTTTCAACCTTTTCCCTACTTTCCGTTTTATATAAACAGCTTGATGAAGAAAAGGTCGCTGAAATGCTACAGGTTTTCTTTGTGGGCTCATCAAAGGTATCCATGCAGTGGGCGGATGGATAAATTCTTGAGTTCCTTGCTTGAGGTTACATTTTTTGCAATAAAACCCTTTTTCACTGGCAATAAGGCCTGGTGCAGGTGCATGGATTTGCATACAAACGAATTCAAATCTTTGTTTCTTAAAAGCACAATTTTTTCCAAGGCCTACTTATTCAGAGGGCATGGTTGAAAAAAATAATCAACCGTTATCAACATTTTCCTTATTTCTGGAACCAATTACTATCCCAAATATTGTCTTTTTGGGTGTTTCCAATACAAATTAAAACCTATCGTGTGAAACAAAAAAAGGAACACAAACCCTTGCGTTTATTTTATGCACTCTGGGCCGGTTTATATTGAACCATTGCTTGAGTAAAAGTATGACCCATTTTTCCAAAAAGGACTAAAACTCAAATTGTTATACTTAAGAAGTGACATCTATCCATTTTCAATTAACTTCCAAGTACAGCTCAGGACACTGCAGGATTGCAGCTTGTTCAAACTGAAATTAAATACTACTGTTCATTTCCACCCTTGCAAAAAAAAAAACATCTTGAACCTCATGAAAATGCAGCACTTTTCAATACTGCAAATTTAATTTTTTTGGACACCACCCAATAGATACATTTCCATTCCTCAGCTGCTGTTTATTCTTTGTTCCCGTTTACACAACTCACTGGGTTAATAAAAGTACAAACAGACGTGCGGTGGGTTTACCTGGCCATACGTAATAACCCTGTTTAGTGTCGGAATGGGCGAGAGAGAGAGAGAGAGAAAAGCATGTGCGCTATATAGAATGATGATGAAGACCTGCTGCAACCCGGGGCCCAACCCATGCAGTCAGCACTCGTGTACTCTCGCCCTCCCCCCCTGGTGCTTAATGCCCGAACCTGTGGGGTTCGCATGATTTATGCAAAAACCCGGGTCTTGAGAGGGGGGGCAGGAGGAGGATTTTTTGGCACGCCGCAGCAGCAGCAGCAGAACCACCACCAGGTGAGCCCCCGTGAAAAAACCCACCCAAGAAAATAGGGGAAGAAAAAAAACACAGACACACGCCCTCAGGGGAAGGAGAGGGTCCCTTTGGTGCAACCCATAAATCATCACCCTCGCAGGGGGCGCATCCACACACACACACACACACACACAAAAACGGTGGAGTGAGTGAGGAAAAACTGGAGGACTATGGGCTTCTTTGGCAGCATTGTTTTAGTATGGGACTCATCATTAGCTAGAGCCTCAAAGTATATTTTTCAGATATTTTTTCTACATGAAAGCAGGTTATTTGTGCAATTTTTATAACAAGAAATACAAGACTTTTTTTTTTTTAGCAGTTCCAAACTGTTCCAGCTATTGAGGATCCCAGAGGCTAATGTATGTATAGTACAGTAGTGATAATAGTTTATAGTCTAACCAGCTGAGCCTAAACCTTTGGTATAGCAATCAATTATTCTCCCTTTCAGGTTAATTGCAGTATAATGGAGCCTTGAACACAATTCGTTTTATTGTAATATTTATCAGATAGATTCAATTTTTCCCACACAAAAAAATGTCCACTGCTTTATTGAAGGAAATTATGGGTTTTGTCCTCCAGGTTTTTTTTTTCTTATCTGAATCAGTGTAATAGAGAGCAAATTTTCTTACTGGAATATTTTTAAAGCAGATTTAGTAGCCAAGACCAAGCTACAGAATGTATGTTGGAATGTGGAGGACTTTGGCTTCCCCAAAATATGCTAAGAGACATGGAAAAGAGGTTTGAAGAAAGCAGAATTTTTAGGAAAAAATTATTCTATGTGAATTAAGGAAAAAAGAAAATTATTTAGGATTTTGGCTACATTTTTTTCAGCTTCCCGGGTTACAAATTTTTCAACAAAAATCCGAACTCATCTGTTGTAGTGCTGAAACCCCCAAACCAACCCCATTTGCAATCAAAATTACCCTGCAATCATTAAAATTTCAATTGTCAAGTAACAAAGAGTAAAAGGTGTTTTGATGGTTGGTAGGTCGGTCACATACTGGACCAGCACCGCCTTTCCCAGGCAAACAACCAACCAAAAACCCAACCCAACCCTCAAGGGGGTTCTTCTCCTGGAATCTCTCCTATATGGTGGAACCCATCCTTCACTGAACGAGCAGCCAGCAGAAATTATGCGGACTCCAACACGCGATAAAATCGTCACCAGCAGTTTCTTCTTTTCCACAGGTTTTTTGTTTTTGTTTTTTTCCTTTTGTTTTCCACTCCGTATTCATGTTCTCCTGCTGTTGCTGATGCTTCACCACCTTTTTTTTTAAAATTTTTTTGCAAATGAGGGCAAAACACTGAGCTGACTTGTTGCCTCTTCCCCTTCATGAAGTTCCTCTCTTCCTAACTCTCTCGTGGATGACTTAATTCCGGGGCTCATGAGCTTTTGGCACGCAATTTTCTGCCCTGGGGGTCTCCTGCACGCTGGTGTGTGTTGATTTTATTTTTCTCGACTAAAAAAACACATGGCATTTCATTCCTGTCGCTGTGTCTGGTGTTTTCTGCGGATTGCAACGGGTTCCGCTTAAACATGCCATGATGTCTCTTATCTTCTGGTGATTTTTTTTCCAAAGGAAGGAATTGGGTTCTGAAACCCACTCAATTTATTTTTTTATTTTTTCAAGTAAGTGCCAGAGGTTTCAGATGGGTCAAGTGTATGAAGTCTTCATCTGAAATTTCATATTTTTATTTTATTTAGGAGAAGTGAATAATGGGATCTTGAGTGAAATGATGGATGATTTGGGTTCTGAGTATATAGACTTGACATTTCCCCACAGATGTAAACGGGTTCTGCTGC